ATAATTATTTTCCAAGGTCAGGCACAGTGGTTTATGCCTATAATCCCAGTACTTTGGGAAGTTGAGGCAGGAGGAGTGCTGCAGGTCAGAAGTTTGAGAACAGCCTGGGCAAGATAGCAAGACCCCATCTCTACAAAAAATATAAAAATAAGCCAGGCATGGTGGCATGTGCCTGTAGTTCCAGCACCTCAGGAGACTGAGGTGGGAGGACTGCTTGAGCCCAGCAGTTCAAGACTGAAGTGAGCTATCATCTTGCCACTGCATTCCAACCTGGACAACAGAGCAAGACCCTGACTCAAAAAAAGAAGTTATTTTTCATAATACCATGCTATTTGTATCAGTAAGTAATGGGCTATTGTACAGTTAAGTCCTCACTTAAAGTCATCCACAGGTTCTTGGAAACTGCAACTTAGAAAAGCAAACAACATATAAGGAAACTAATTTGACCATAGGTTGATTGATATTAAATAACAGTTAAGTTCCCATGGCATATTTCTGGCCACAAAACATTAACAAACTTCTAAATAAACACCAAAATGAGCTGGGCTCATGCCTGTAATCCCAATGCTTTGGAAGGCCAACCTGGGCCTATGCTCAAGTGATCCTCTGTTTCAGCCTTCGGTCTCAGCCTTTGGAGCAGCTGGAACTAGAGGCATTGCACCACCAGGTCCAGCTAATTTATTTTTTTAGCTTTGTAGAGATGAGGTCTCACTACGTTGCCCAGGCTGGCCTCCAACTTTTGGCCTCAAATGATTCTCCCACTTGGTCCTAATGTAGTTTTAAATAGATGTTCTAAATTTCTCAGTTGTAATTTTTAATATAGTAAGTATAAATAATTAAAACCCACATAACCCATATGAGCAAAGGCATTTTGGGGCCAGGCACGTGGCTCACATCTGTAATTCCAGTATGTTGGGAGGACTGCTTGAGGCCAGGAATTCAAGACCGGCCTAGCCAACATGGCAAAACCCCACCTTTACTGAAAATATAAAAATTAGTGGGCCATGGTAGTGCACGCCTGTAGTCTCAGCTACTCAGAAGACTGAGGCATAAGAATCACTTGAACCTGGGAGGCAGAGGTTGCAATAAGCTGAGAAGGCACCACTGCTGTTCAGCCTGGGCAACAGAGCAAGACACTGTCTCAAGACCAAAAAAAAAAAAAAAACACACACACAAAAAACTGGCCAGGTGTGGTAGCTCATGCCTGTAATCCCAGCATTTTGGGACTTTGGGAGGCCAAGAAGGGCAGATCACGAAGTCAGGACATCGAGACAATCCTGGCCAACATCTCTACTAAGCCTCATCTCATCAAAATAAATTTCAAATGTATGTAAAATATCTGGCTTCTAACCAAGTAGAGAAACTTCATCTCTACTAAAATACAAAAAGTAGCCAGGTGCGGTGGTGCGCACCTATAGTCCCAGCTACTTGGGAGGCTGAGGCAGGGGAATCACTTGGACCCAGGAGGTGGAGATTACAGTAAGCCGAGATCACACCACTGCACTCCAGCCTGGCAACAGAGCGAGACTCCGTCTTTAAAAAATAAAAAAATTTAAAAAAAAAAAGCGCTCTAGGGTTAATCAATAATTTCTAAGAGTTGTAATCTAAAGCATATATTTATCTTTATATATATATATATATATATGTAAATTCCTCTTTCTTCCATGTTTTTATTTTCTATCTTGTGAAGCAATAATAACTTCTGTGCTTTTTGTAAACAAATAGAAGATAATTATTTATATTACTCTGCTCCTCATTTTTGTCACTTATTTTAGAAATCAGTTGGCCAGGCATGGTGGTTAACACCCGTAATCCCAACACTTTGGGAGGCCGAGGTGGGCAAATCACCTGAGGTCAGGAGTTTGAGACCAGCCTGGCCAACATGGTGAAACCCCATCTTTAGTAAAAATACAAAAATTAGCCAGGCTGGTGGCAGGTGCCTGTAATCCCAGCTATCTGGGAGGCTGAGGCAGGAGAATCGCTTGAACCTGGGAGGTGGAGGTTGCAGTGAGCCAAGATTGTGCCACTGCACTCCAGCCTGGGGACTATCTCGGTGAGAGGGGAGAGGGGAGAAGGGAGGAGAGGGGAGAAGGGAGGAGAGAGGAGAGAGGAGAGAGGAG